GAAAACAATAAAATAATCTAAAAAATGCTAGTTAAAATAAAAGATAAACAAAAATAATAAATAGTTTTTAGGAATAGTAAAATCAAGTGTTAAATATAAAGAAATTGTTGGGGTATTTCAAAATTTTAACTCTCTAAATTTATAGATGCTCTCTAAATGAGAGAATGTGCTCTTTAAAAATAGAGAGCATTTTGGAGATGCTCTAATAATGTTATGTAACCCATGTTAAGACAATCATTTTTTNAAATAATCCCTTGTTTGATGCCCATTAAAAAAAAGTTCAGTTGGAAAATGCGTTTTGAAATAGTGATTTTTTAGAAAATGTGCGATTAAAAAGTAGGAAAAAATTTTGAGTTTACGTACAAAATATTTTATTGTGAAAATGATGTTGAAAAAAAGAGTTTTGTTTCAATAGTTGTCAAACAGGGACTTAGTTTTGCACGTGTTGTGTTAGGAATAAACACTCACAAACAATAATAATAGGCAACATGAAAACTAATAGCAAAAATACAAAATTTACGTGGAAATCCCCTCTATTAAGAAAATTACAGGAAGATGAGGAGAATTGACTAATATCAAAAGGGATTATAAAGTTTGGAAGATCTCAATATGTATAATACAAAGGAGTCTAAAATAAGGTAGAGACTTTCTCATATAATAAGTAAAATCAATAATGAAGTGTTTGAGTTGAAATATGACTCCAAAAATTGATAACATCACAATTGGAGAGTTGTCCGACTAAGCTTGTCGCCCGAGCGACTAGACCAATCGAGCACGCCATGTTAGGTTTTTGAGCGGTTTGCGCCACCTTCTTTGCCTTGGTACATCTTTGACTCCTTGTCGTCTTTCGTTTCTTCAACATTTCTCCAAAACATACAATCAACTCTCAATAGAACTCCCAAATAGAATTCAGGTCACATTCAAATTCTAGCAAAATGATCAAACTTTTCTCTTCAACAAAAATTCTCCAACTTAAGATGAATTCCAATATGAGGAATAGAACTTAACTCTTCAACAAAAAACCTAAAAAATTTTCCAACAAAACTGTCTATCTCTTCCACAAAAGCTCATAAGGGCAAACTCAACTGGTTGTAATAAAATACTGTGGTACTACTGGTTGTGGTGGCAAAGCTACATTACCCTTAACTTCTAAACTAGAATGAGATGTATTTTCTAATATAGACCCTAAACCAAACTCTAACAATGTTGAATCAATCTCAAACTCTACCCGAGTACTTAATTTCTGCTGATGTGTATCAATAAAATCTATAAAAACCTATAAGACATATAAATGGGACCTTCTCTACTTCTTCATCACGACATGGATACATTTGCTAACGTTCAGAACTCCATCTTTTCAGTGTATTTGTACCTTTTTGAATTAAGAGTATTCAAGGAGATAAGATTTTTCTTCAAACTTGCAATGTGTCTCACATTACCAAGTTTCCGAAAATCCCATCAAACATCTTAATTTTAACCTTAATTACCAATACTAGCTATCTTGCAAGGAACATTATTTTTCATACCTTTGGAAACCATTTTATATGTTGAAAACCAATCTCGATTAGCACAAAAATGAAACGTGTAAGCTATATCAAGAATTCAATACTCGACAATTTTGAAATCGCCGTAAAAAATAACTTCAAGTTCTGTATCACTGTAGCACTCTTATGAAAAACTGTATTTCACCTTAATCTTCTAATTGTTTTCCCTTCTGATTTACAGCAGTTAATTTTTTTCTATTCTGCAACCACTACACCAAAAAACACCTTTTGCAGCGGCCAAAAAACGTTGCGGTAGACCTTTTGCAGCGTTTTAGCGTGTGTTGCGGAGGTCGGTGTTGCTGTTGAGGGAAGACTTTTTGTAGCGTTTATTCACCGTTGCGAAAAACCCTTTTGCAGCGTTTTTTAAACGTTGCGGTAGACCATTTTGTAGCGTTTATTCACCGTTGCGAAAAACTCTTTTGCAGCGTTTTTTAAACGTTGCGGTAGACCATTTTGCAGCGTTTATTCACCGTTGTGGTAGACCCTTTTGCAGCGTTTTTTAAACGTTGCCGTTTATTTTATTTTATTTTATTTTATTTTTTTAGGTTATATATTGCAATTGACCGACAAAATTGAAAATAACACTTTGTGAACAAAATTTGGAATTGCATAAAAATTGATAATTGCATTACAATTTTTTGAATCAATACAACATTAGAATATAATACAATACAACATTTCGAGTAAAATTTAAAATATAATAGTCCCTACATGCAAAACTAAAAGCTCCCACTTTGATTGTTCCAATCAGAAAGATCTGATTAATACATAATTTCTCAATAATTTATCTA